AGGAAGGAACTCATAGTAACTTGTGGCTGATTTTATTTTCTGTTGTCCTAACCAGTTGTTTGGTATCAGGCTCCATAGATGCAAGACCACTGGTATTAGTCACCCGATTGACGTTTAAGGGTGGTAGTGAGTGTCCCTTATCGACCGAGTTTAGTTTAACAGTAATGATAGGTCCAGTGAGTTACCTGTCAACTTCAAGTGAAGAAATAGGGTGGAAAAAGTAAATAATACAACTGCAAAGTGGGAAAAATAAGGAAAACTGAACTTGAAGTCCATTTTGGTCTAGAAGTGAAGAGAGCATATGATGTCTGAGTAGGGCGCAGATGTGTTTGTACGTGCAAGATCAGTGCAAGTAAGGTCTTGATCAAGCGGTTTTACAAACGTTTGTAATTTATCAGCCATGCGAGTTTCGATTGAAGGAATGTCATCGGAACCAGAACTCGCATTTGGCTTAAGAGATTTAATGGCGGTATGTATACTCCTAATGTCGAAGTTTATGGTACTAAGATAGATTTTGCCGGTGCACTTCATGTCGATGTCTGGAGCTTCAGATGTATTCCTATTGTGAGAAAACCATTCACTTAATAGTTCACATATGACGGTTTGATCATTATACGTTACTCCATCGTGCAGTAAGGAGTGAATGTTGTTGTCTGTGTTCTTTCTTATGCGCTTCGTGAGGAGACGACATAGGGCTTGGGCTTTAGATGAAGCAGTGAGCGCAGTACGTTCCTCTACCTTTTTACGCTTGTTGTGTTGACTTTGTACTCCGTCAAGTACAGAGTATATCTGGTGCAGGGCACTGAAATCTTTTGATATATAGTACATCCTTTTCAGTTTTCGCAGTTTAGACCTAGTCTTTTGGTTTATATAGGGAGCAATTGTTTTAAAACCAATTTTAGAGGGTACAGTAGTGTCTAGTGCAGATTTGGTGGTGATATTGAATATTTCTAATTTTTCTAAGAGGTTATTACTGGTAAAGAAACTGCCCCAGTCAGAGTGCTTTATCAAAAGTTTTCCCAGCCAGCATTTGCATAGTCTCTATATTGGAATCGCGTGTTTAATGTCTTTAATTTGTTGCATATGGCAAGAATCGGAAGGGTGCAGAGGACTATTTTATGATCGCTGTTGTGAAACTTTTCGCCAACCACCATCGATGTTGGTGTGACATTATGACAGAATATCAAGTCAAGAATGTTGTGATTTCGTGTAGGCAGGTGTACATGTTGTTGCCAGCCGTGTATGTCTAAGGACCTAAGTATGCTTTCAAAGCACAATGGGCCAGAATGTGTCTTCCAGTTGATGGTGGGAGGGTTGAAATCACCACATACAATTTTGTAAGTGAAGTCAAGCGAGGCAGCCTGAGCAAATGACTCACTTATAATAGTCTCATTTGAACTAGGAGTGTTAGTAGCACGATATATGCATCCGATTAGTATTTTACATTCATAAGTTTGCACAATAATCCATATCGATTCAGGAAGTTTACTGAGGATGTGTTCGCTATAGATTTCCGCTCTCAAATTTTTTGATACATAAACGAGACAACCACCACCCTTCTTGGTGACTCGATCACAGCGGAAGAGCTCATAGGTGTCTATTTTTAGAAATGTGTTTGTGGTGTCGGAGGACAGCCAACTTTCCGTTATCAGAACAAGTGAGGGGTTGTTTAAAAGTAAAAGGGTGCGTAGGTGAGTCATCTTACTTTGTACAGATCGAGCGTTGACTAACATAAGTGTCAGGTACGGTGACTGTTTGTCTAGTAGATGGGTATGATGTAAACCCAGTGATTTGTCTGTTTTGCCACAAGAAAAGGAAGAATTTGGAGCGTAGTCTACATATTGATGAGCGTTTAGTTAAATACTAGTAGGGTTAATACGAGAAGAGTAGTCGTGTGTTGTTTTGGTCAAAGAATTATGTCTAAGAGTGGAAGGTAGAGTTGAATTTTTAGTTAATGTGTCCGGGGAATGATCAGGGGGTCCAGTCAAGGAGTTTTCAAGACTAGAGACAGTTATCGAAGTTGAGAATGATCTGCCACTCCCCATCAAATCGGAGTATATAGATGGTTTCAGAATAGTGGGATTGTCGCTCTCAACATTTGAAGACCCCATAGCAGTAATGTTGAGGGGGGGACAGATAAAAAAGTACGAGATAGTGTGTGTTTAGAATTAGGGGGGACTAAACCATTGTATTGAGTGGCTTCACTTAGATAGTACCTAGAATCAGTCGGTGGGTTCTCAAGTAGGCCAACGTTATGGCTTCCTTGTGTGCGGTCGGCAATTTTAGTCCTATTGTGGTTAGTAGGGGAGGTTGTATGTTTCCGATGAGGAATAAAGGAATGCCTGTTATTGTTGCTAAGAGAAGTGTTTCTGTTGTTCATAGTTTTGTGTTGGTTCATGGGGCTTACAAGGTTGACACTATATGACTTATGGGTATCACGTGTGGGTGTGTTACGTGTCGAGTGCTGTTTCAATTTAGGATGAGTGGGTGTTGCCAGTTCACTATTTTATTGTAGAACATTCAATTGCCATGAGAAGGTGCATGTTTTGGGTTAGAAGTGCTGGATTATTGGTGAGTTTTAACGGAGATGTGGCGTTTGAATTGACTAATGATATCTTTGTGCATGTTGAATGCTCGATTTCGAATTCCAAATACAGTACATTCGTTTGTGCTTGTATCTTCTTAATTCAATCGCATTATTTCTTGGACTCTTAGTTAGTGCTATAATTCAAATAATTCGAAACATTATATTGGCGTCGCGATTGACTGTGCAGTGGAAAAGTTGGACATTCATTCAACTTCTGAAGCTTTTGAGGATTATTTCGAAAGGTTCGAAATCTGGGTCATGATCAAGGAAGATGATGAGGATGTTAATATTGTGGCATATTTCCTCACATTCATCGGTAAAGAAACATACAGTTTATTAAAAACTCTGGCTATGCCGGAAAAGCCCATTTCGCTTCCTTATACAACTCTCAAGGGATTACTGTTAGACTATGTCAAGTATGCAAATTCTGATTGCAGTAAAGAAGGGAAGTTTCCTAAAATAATTCATCAGAACATCAAAAATTCAACTACATCTTGTCATTCCAATCCAGTGCATACTCAAGATTTTGCAGATAATTCATTGAAGGGTTGCAGTGCGTTTCACGAAGATTAGCGCAAGTTTGGTCAGTGTTTGTTGTTGAAAAATATATGGTTGCAATTCTAGATATTAATGATTTTGGTACAATAAACCAACATGCTGATTGTATACAATTCCAGGTTAGTGTGTTCCGATTTCGTTTGTTAATTCCAATACTAATGAGCACATTCTAGATACTACAAAGTTTTTATCCAATACAATGTCGGACAGACTCAGGATGAACTTAACAAGTGGAAAAGTTGGACATTCATTCAACTTCTGAAGCTTTTGAGGATTATTTCGAAAAGTTCGAAGTGTGGGTTTGATTCTTCTTAACTATTCTCATGAAATCCATTCGGAATGTCATTGCAGAGTAATGGATCATTAGAAAAATTAGCATCTATCAAAACCACATCAGGTTTTTGATCATAATTATGTTCACTCAACATATTTTCTTTAGATTTGTAAGGAATATCATCGGAAATATGTGAATCATTACGAACAACCATACCTGGTACAATAGCATGAGAATTCTGATAAATCGATTGGTGAGAAACTGTTGTTTTGCAAGAATTCTGAATTTGATTTAACTCTGAACTGCTTTGTGACTCTACACTGTCTATCATCTTCCTTGGTCATTACCCAGATTTCGAACTATTCGAAATAATCCTCAAAAGCTTCAGAAGTTGAATGAATGTCCAACTTTTCCACTGCACAGTCAATCGCGACGCCAATATAATGTTTCGAATTATTTGAATTATAGCACTAACTAAGAGTCCAAGAAATAATGCGATTGAATTAAGAAGATACAAGCACAAACGAATGTACTGTATTTGGAATTCGAAATCGAGCATTCAACATGCACAAAGATATCATTAGTCAATTCAAACGCCACATCTCCGTTAAAACTCACCAATAATCCAGCACTTCTAACCCAAAACATGCACCTTCTCATGGCAATTGAATGTTCTACAATAAAATAGTGAACTGGCAACACCCACTCATCCTAAATTGAAACAGCACTCGACAAGTAACACACCCACACGTGATACCCATAAGTCATATAGTGTCAACCTTGTAAGCCCCATGAACCAACACAAAACTATGAACAACAGAAACACTTCTCTTAGCAACAATAACAGGCATTCCTTTATTCCTCATCTAAATCCGCGCGCGCGCTACGGACTGGACGTTACTTTCACGTCGAGGTTTTTAGTTTTGTTTTTCTAGGATTCTCGCAGAGCTGGATGAGTTATTTTTCCTTGGAATAATGGAAGTTAACTCAATTCTCAACTATTAACATATAATTTGTGAATTCCATGCCATATGATAAGTTCTGAGTTTAACTTACGGTATTTATGATCATATTCATAAAATAATTCATATTTATATAATTACATATATTCATTTTGACTATACGATCAAACTATACTCTGTCACTTTGAAACCATATATAAGCATATTTGACGAAGATTTGCATTTCATATCTGTATTCTATTCCTTAAGGAATATATGTTTATATCGTATTTGAATGCTTTAACCCACGTACTTTATGTATCTACAGGATCTATTCAAACCTCTACCTAATATCAAGAAATATATATAACCGTGTATGTTAAAGGACTGTGTTCACTATTCTATGAACTATCATTTATATCGTATTTGGATACTATAAATCATTTAATTTCCGAAGCTACCTGTCCAATTCGGATCTATTCAAACTTCTACCTAATATCAAGAAATATATATAACCGTGTATGTTAAAAGACTGTATTCACTATTTTATGAACTGTCATTTAAATCGTATTTGGATACTATAAATCATTTCCGAAGCTATCTGTCCAATTCGGTGAGTCTGTCATAGTTTTTTTTTTTTGACAGTACTTTTTTTTCCAAAAAGCTGTTCCATATATTTGTTCAAGAAGCAACATAATAATCTTAGACGGTAATAATCTTCTAAACTACTTGTCTCTGCACCTCCCAATTTCTACTAATACGGACTTTCAGTTTATATATGTACCACGTACCGTACTTTTTTTTTTTGATTGTTTGATATTAATTATCGACATTTCTAAATTACTTTACTATATAAGGCTATCTTTCATGTCATATGTGTTAAAATTTACACAACTTGCTCCTTTATATTCTATTTTGCCTCCACACAGATACTGACAAATACTTCATCTCCACTACTATCTTCCTGCCATTGTCATCTGTTTTTAACATCACTAATCCTCACGATACATTGACTCTTGGTTAAAACATAGATTTTGATTTTTAGACTAACTTGAGCCCTCGGAATTGATTTTTTTTTCACCTCTTTCTGTTTCCAACATTCTGTTCAATCCACTTGCTATACGTCACTTTCTTATTATGCCACAAAATAAAATGAAGACCCCTGCTTCTAGGCGTTCAGCCAAACGTAGGAGAACGACACAATTTAACACCACTACTGACACGACTTCCAACAGTTTCAACGAGACGAGCCACTCCGTTCATCCGGAAGCAGACAAGCGTTTACCAGTTGTCTCCATTCCAGACATGTTGAAAACTCTGATGGTAAACAGTGATGATAATCGCAACTGCAACCATATGGATGCTATAAAAAAGTTGCAAGTGGACATGAACATTCTCAATCCGCTTAAATATCTCATCAACCCCAACCTCACAGAGATTCCAGATCAAATGAATGACATAAATATTTTCCTAGATCGTGTTGCATCAGAGGTATTTGAAAGAATAAGACGATCTAGTAATGCAATTGTGTTTAATATACCGGATACACATGCCCTTAAAAAGATCAAATCTAGTCTGCTTAGAGCCAGCAATATGACACACGTACCATGTGTATGCACAAGATTAAAACGAAGTCATCCTGGTATGCACTCACCGATCTTGTTCAAATTCAACTCATCTGTAGACGCCAGTGAATTTTTAAATTCCTCCAATTCATTGAGACAAAAACAGATTTTCAAGGATATTAAGACTCTTCCGGATAAAACACCATGCCAGCGAAAAGCAGGAAGAGATAACTACAGACCACCAGCGTCAAACTCTCAAACGCATCATAATCCTAATGATCGTAAAGTTAAGTCCGATTCTAAGAGGACGTCTAGCTTAACAATTTTGCCGCCACCGAAAAACTCTTCTGAATCTCCTAAAGTTCAAAACCGAGAAAAAAGTAATCCCGATGTAGGTGGTGTCCATCCTTCTAAGAATGTTGATTTAGATTTAACCCGAAGTAGTTGTGCTGATGAAGAATGGGATAACACAGTCCAAACCCCTGTTAGTGCAACACCCAGTTACAGTAACTGTGCAACGGATAACAGGAAAACTAATCATAACATTCATATAACTGACCACGAACTTAACGTTGATATATTCGAACCTCCCAAACCATCGCAAGTATGTTTAACAGTACATAATCCTCTCCAACATATGAAGAAGCCGAAATCAATCACAAACCTTGGAAATAAACGTCTTAAACACGTTACCCATACGTCAGGTATAAATAGTTATCTGAATTGTAATTGGCCACTTGGTCAAAACCATAGACCTGATAGTCTTCTCGGTCCGGCTCCCAATATGTACACTATGCCCTTATCAGATGTTATATCCAATAGCAGTGAGAAAACTTTTTTTGTAATTCCGCCGGCTTTCCTGCCGGCAACGGTAAATATATTTCACATGATGACAAAGTGGTTGAATCTATTTCCCCTCGCAACACAACTCTTACCTTAGCTAATCCTATGAGTATTAATGGAACTACCAATTGCGATTTATACTCTAACCTGCTTCACTATGATGACTCTGAGTTTCTTATTCTTTATTTCAATGCCCGCTCTCTGTCTAATAAAATCATTCATCTTAAAACTCTTTTATTCCTTGTAAATCCAACCATTGTACTTATTACGGAAACGTGGTGTAATTCATCTATATCCGATCATTCCTTGAATGTAGATAACTACGTTTTCTTTAGAACCGATAGATGTTATGGAATAGGAGGCGGTACAATTATCTATGTCCGTTCAGACATTCAAGCGTGCAAATTTGAGGATAAATCCTTTGATGCTATAGAAGACTCCACTTGGGTTACTGTAAACTGTGGATCCCAAAATTATTTACTGGTGGGATGCATATATGGACCACCTCATGCGGATACTAAGTTTGACAGATTACTAACAAACATATTTTCCATTGCTTCGCATCAACCGCATACCTTTAAAATCGTCGGAGGTGATTTTAATCTGCCAAAAATTACATGGGGCTTGACTCCGGTACCAGGTCGATATAACAAGCTAGTTGAAACATTAGAAATTTGTGGATGGGTTCAACAGGTCCGAAAACCAACCAGGGGGAATAATACACTTGATTTAATGTTCACAATCAACATAGACTCTATCTCAGTGCATACCAGTCATGAGTTTTTTATGAGTGACCATAGAGTTGTATTGAGTATTATTCACTCTTTAAACGCCATACAATCGAATTCTAAAGCTTCAATGACGTACCAGAGCAGATATTTTGATCAACAAACATGGAAACGGACTGAAACTCTCATTCAATGTTTACCATGGGAAACTTATTTTACCACAAATAATGTTGACATCGCGCTTTCCAATCTATATCACAACCTGATATATTGTCTTGACTGCACTGCTCCAGTTATTGACCGTGTGGCTTATAATGCTAATAGGGGCCAAAATACTTTTAAAAGAAAGCTGAGGAAATTAAAATACCGCTACTATGAGCAGAATGATGTGTATGCACTTCAGAGTATACTTAAATTAATCAACAGAAATGCTTCATCTAAACGTAAGTATTTCATGAATATAGAAAATAAAGCTCTACGTAGTAAAAGCCCAGAATTATCAATACTTCGACTTTTTAAATCCCGTGTAAAATCAAATTCCCTTGGCACGACCAAATTCTTCATAGTTAACGGAAGCATTGTTAACGACCCGAATACTATATGCGAACAATTCAGCAAGCACTTCTCGCAGTGCTACAAAACTGAAACTGAAAGCTCCAGCATTACATTTCCAATGCTAACATCCAGACATCTGTCAAAAATTGATTTCACACCCTCCGCCATCAAGCAGGCCATAACTTCCTTGAAAAAGTCTTATGATGGTGGACCTGACGGGATACCTACATCATTTGTGAAATATGGAAGTAGAGAATTTCCACTATTTTGTTTGAAACTCTTCAATCTATCTATGGAATATGGGACCTATCCATCTGTATGGAAAACATCCCTTATCACCCCTAGATTCAAAACAGGACCACGTAGTGATATTATTAACTATAGGCCAATTAATTTGACATCCGTGCTCTCAAGAACCATGGAAAAAATCATCCACAAACAGCTACTATCATTTTTACTTTCAGCTAGTCTGATCAGCCCTTCCCAACATGGGTTCATGACTAAACGCTCATGTTTCACATCGCACCTGGAGTTTTTTGATCAAATTACCCAGAGAAGAGATGTTGGTCAGTCAGTGATAATTCTTTACTTTGATTTTAGTAAGGCTTTCGACAGTGTCTCACACAAACTTCTTCTTTTAAAACTCTCTTCATTTGGCATTCAGAATCCCCTTTTATCTTGGCTCAAATCTTTTTTAGAAGAACGTAGCCAAATCGTTCGCTTTGGATCTTGCTACTCTAAACCTGTAAATGTAACCAGTGGGGTTATACAAGGAAGTGTGGTTGGTCCACTACTCTTTCTCCTTTTTATCAATGATGTATGTTCCCTCTTTCAGTATGGCAAGCCTTTCCTTTTTGCTGATGACCTGAAAGTAGTTTATTCATTCTCTTCTCCCGTGAAAGAAAGCTATATTTCAGCGGTAATTCAGGAGGAAATAAACAAGTTGTACGAATGGACTATTTCGTGGAATATGTCACTTAATGTTGACAAAAGTGGATTTATTCACATTGGTCGCTGTCTTAACTTAAATCTGACTGTACAGACACATACACTCAAACCTCTCAACACTGTTCGTGACCTGGGTTTAAGATATAGCAACAGTCTGAACTTTTCTGAACACATTATATCTCAAGTATCCAAAGCTAGAAAGCTCATCGGATTGATAATGATAAACTTCAATAATATCGAATCGAGATTGTTACTGTACAGAAAATGTATCTTACCCATTCTTGAATATGGTATTTTAGTTTACAGTAATTGTAGACATAATGATCTGATTAGAATTGAAGGTGTTCAAAGAAAGTTCACCAAAGCTGTTCTGGGGTATTCCGATAACAAAGACTATTACCAAAGATGTCAACAACTCAACTTAGAACCTCTTTGGATCAGACGTATCAAATTAAATCTTGTCTTTATCTACCGGCTCATTAACGGTATTTCCTACTCATCGGTATCCACCCCTTCATACCTTATAATATCATCCCACAATCTACGCAATAAGGAGAACATTCTAGCGATTCCAAGAACCCACACAAACTTACGTCAGAATTTTTTCCTTATTCGCTACTCAACCATGTGGAACAGACTACCAGTGAACCTCCGTTGCAGTGAAACTACAACCCGGTTCAAAAGTCTCCTTGACGATTTTCTTTCCGAAAGTGGATTATGTCACCTATTGAATATCAATGTATTCAATAATGATTTATACAAACAAGGTCCGTCATCTATTTAATTGCTTGAAAAGCAAAATAAAAACTTTAAATCTTTTCACGTCTATTTTGTTTTATTTCTCTTTATCTTAATATATGAAGTCTGCTTATGTTCGTGTTTATCATTATTACCGTTATTAATATCATTATTAATTCCCCAACACATTAGATATTCTCTTTATCTCTTCTTATCCTTCTAAACATATTTAACTCCAGATTGTCCTTTGAAATCATTTTGACTTTCATATCATCAATCTTAATTATTATTGCACAAATATTTATACTAATATCCGGTTTCATTCTGTATACTATTACGTAAATCTAAATGTATTCATCCGAGTGCTTTAAAGGATTTTTTTATTTTTTTAAATTTGTTTCAATTGCTGGTTTCCTTCTGAGGTTGATATCCATTACACAATTATTATTCTTATCATGGATGAACCTTTTCACTAGGTGTTCACTTCTTTTCTCGCTCTTCTTCCCTTCTAAATAAATCTTATTCTTAAGATTATGAAGTTTCTAATTAAGACAATAACTTGTGTTACACTTTAATTAACTTCTCAGATTAGTTTTATCTTCACTATGCATATATGACTCATACATAGTGATATTTTATTATCCTTTTCACTTAATTGTGACTTTCATAGCATCACTCTAAACTATAACCGCACAAACATTTATTCTATTGTCATATCTTACTACAACGATAAATTATTTTTTGTTACTAATTCAACGATACACACATGGTCGTTTTTTCTTCTTCTCTGTTCATAAACACGCCTATTAGACTGTTTGCTTATTTCACGTTTCCTTTATTTCTATTCCCTTATTTTCTCCATTTCCTTCTTTAAACTCAATTCAATATTCTTCTCAATTACACAGACCCGATTTATTATCATTAATATTCTACTATTATTATTCTAATTTATTTTTTATTTTTTTTTTTTTAAATATGGCAAGTATAATGCTAAAATTATTGAAAATTGTGTATTATTGCATTTTCTGAAGAAACCCGGAATGGTTTCTTCACAACACTTATGTACCCATAAGATGTTTGTGAATAATAATAATAATAATCGGAAACATACAACCTCCCCTACTAACCACAATAGGACTAAAATTGCCGACCGCACACAAGGAAGCCATAACGTTGGCCTACTTGAGAACCCACCGACTGATTCTAGGTACTACCTAAGTGAAGCCACTCAATACAATGGTTTAGTCCCCCCTAATTCTAAACACACACTATCTCGTACTTTTTTATCTGTCCCCCCCTCAACATTACTGCTATGGGGTCTTCAAATGTTGAGAGCGACAATCCCACTATTCCGAAACCATCTATATACTCCGATTTGATGGGGAGTGGCAGATCATTCTCAACTTCGATAACTGTCTCTAGTCTTGAAAACTCCTTGACTGGACCCCCTGATCATTCCCCGGACACATTAACTAAAAATTCAACTCTACCTTCCACTCTTAGACATAATTCTTTGACCAAAACAACACACGACTACTCTTCTCGTATTAACCCTACTAGTATTTAACTAAACGCTCATCAATATGTAGACTACGCTCCAAATTCTTCCTTTTCTTGTGGCAAAACAGACAAATCACTGGGTTTACATCATACCCATCTACTAGACAAACAGTCACCGTACCTGACACTTATGTTAGTCAACGCTCGATCTGTACAAAGTAAGATGACTCACCTACGCACCCTTTTGCTTTTAAACAACCCCTCACTTGTTCTGATAACGGAAAGTTGGCTGTCCTCCGACACCATAGATACATTTCTAAAAATAGACACCTATGAGCTCTTCCGCTGTGATCGAGTCACCAAGAAGGGTGGTGGTTGTCTCGTTTATGTATCAAAAAATTTGAGAGCGGAAATCTATAGCGACCACATCCTCAGTAAACTTCCTGAATCGATATGGATTATTGTGCAAACTTATGAATGTAAAATACTAATCGGATGCATATATCGTGCTACTAACACTCCTAGTTCAAATGAGACTATTATAAGTGAGTCATTTGCTCAGGCTGCCTCGCTTGACTTCACTTACAAAATTGTATGTGGTGATTTCAACCCTCCCACCATCAACTGGAAGACACATTCTGGCCCATTGTGCTTTGAAAGCATACTTAGGTCCTTAGACATACACGGCTGGCAACAACATGTACACCTGCCTACACGAAATCACAACATTCTTGACTTGATATTCTGTCATAATGTCACACCAACATCGATGGTGGTTGGCGAAAAGTTTCACAACAGCGATCATAGTCCTCTGCACCCTTCCGATTCTTGCCATATGCAACAAATTAAAGACATTAAACACGCGATTCCAATATAGAGACTATGCAAATGCTGGCTGGGAAAACTTTTGATAAAGCACTCTGACTGGGGCAGTTTCTTTACCAGTAATAACCTCTTAGAAACATTAGAAATATTCAATATCACCACCAAATCTGCACTAGACACTACTGTACCCTCTAAAATTGGTTTTAAAACAATTGCTCCCTATATAAACCAAAAGACTAGGTCTAAACTGCGAAAACT